TTCGGTCACACCAATATGGATCTCGGTCTAACCGAGATGGCCTTGCAAACTCCTTGTTTCCCTTCGTAACATTTCGGTCTCACCGAAATGAGCGATCGATCCCACCGAGTTTGCTTGACATCGTCTAAGTTTGATCTTTGCTGAAATCCATCTCACGGTCTCACCGAGATGAGGTTTTGCCCTAGCCCTAGCACATCGGTCCCACCGAGTTGATCATGTCGGTCCCACCGAGATTCCTAACGTTCACATTTTGAACTGAATCGGTCTCACCGAGTTCTACTATTCGGTCTGACCGAGTTGGATCAATTGCGTGTAATAGTTGGATTTTGTGTGGAGGCTATATATACCCCTCCACCCCCATCTCCATTTGTGAGAGAGCCATCATAATGTGCCTACACTTGCACTACTCATTTTCTGAGAGAGAACCACCTACTCATGTGTTGAGACCAAGACATTCCAATCCTACCACTAGAATCTTGATCTCTAGCCTTCCCCAAGTTGCTTTCCACTCAAATATTCTTTCCACCATATCCAAATCTGTGAGGGAGAGTTGAGTGTTGGGGAGACTATCATTTGAAGCACAAGAACAAGGAGTTCATCATAAACACACCACCCATTACCTTTTGGAGAGTGGTGTCTCCTAGATTGGTTAGGTGTCACCTGGGAGCCTCTGCCAAGATTGTGGAGTTGAACCAAGAAGTTTGTAAGGGCAAGGAGATCGCCTACTTCGTGAAGATCTACCCGAGTGAGGCAAGTCCTTCGTGGGTGATGGCCATGGTGGGATAAACAAGGTTGCTTCTTCATGGACCCTTTGTGGGTGGAGCCCCCCGTGGAATCACACAATCGTTCTCTTCGTGGGTTGAAGTCTCCATCAACGTGGACATACGATAACACCACCTATCGGAACCACGCTAAAAAACTCTGTGTCCTCATTGCGTTTGCACACTCCAATCCCATCCCTTTACTTTCTTGCAATTAGCATGCTTTACTCTTTCCGCTGCTTATACTCTTGCCATGCTTGCTTGAAATGTATTGTGTATGCTCAAATTTGTGCTAAAACTCCACCTCAACTTGAAGAACTTGAAAATTGCACTTTTGCTTGTTGAGTGTCTAATCACCCCCCTTTAGACACCTCTTATCGATCCTTTCAGATGCTCACAACCCCTGACAGGAGCTCTCACCCATGGAGCCCATCTAAATATGAGCAGGCGAGCCACGCTCGTGCACAAAACCAACGAGAGATCCAATCGTCCCCACCCCTGCCAAATCATGAAGCCAATTAGATCTAGCGGTGGCAAAAAATTCAGGTAGATGGAGGCTTTTCATGGAATGGCAAAGAAGGGGCAGCGGCTACGGTTTGCCGAGAACATACATGACAGTTCCTTGGCTCATTGGCAATGGTTTTTAGTGATATTACTGATCCACCAGCCCTTGAAGCGCTTTCATGCCGTGAAGCTCTAGCCCTGGCACTTGATTTATCTTTAGTTCAAGTTATCATCGCGTGTGATTGTGAAATAGTTGTCAAAGATATCAAGACTGGAACGAGAGGGAAATACAGTGGTATTATCAAGGAGATTGCAGCCCAAGCTCGAGACTTCACGAGGTGTGAGTTATTTTTTAAAGGGCGCCAGAGGAATGTTGATGCTCACAACTTAGCTAAATTTGCTGATAGTTTAGATGTTGGTCACCACTTGTGGCTTGGTCTTCCCCATGACCCTTTTGTTATTCCTATAAAACATACTCCTAGTCAATAAAGGTTGGTTTACCGCTCAAAAATATATATTAGATCCAATGATGGATCAAGTGAATGTGACATAATTTAAAACTCAGCTAAATCTATTTTCTATAGCATTTTTTGTCATGTTTACGCCGAGTGTCATTTCTTCATGAAACTTCATAAATTGGCAATGTACGTTGCAACTTTTTCTAAATTTGTTTTTATTTTACATTTTTTACATTGATTGCAGTTTTTGTTGGTTGCTTACCAAACAAGCCGCTTGGTTGATTTTACCATGCATAGAGATAAGAAGGACCTGAGAGCAACTCCAATAGCTCCCATGTCTAAAAAAAACTATCGTTTATAAAAAGTTGAAGAAAAAAAAGGACCTTTAATAGCTTTCGTAAAGTTGAATTTTTTTACGGATCCCGTAAAAACACCTCCTCCATCCTGCAACTTTATGGAAAAATAATCTTCCAGTATAATTTTGGCTAGCGGATAACTGCCTGAAATTTTATGATGAACGCGCGCACCGTCATTCAAGTACGCTGCCCCGCGCCGTCGTGCCTGGCTACCACTTCACCGTAGCTCCTTTGCTACCGCCACCGCCACTCCGCCATGGCGCCTCACCGCCGCCCCTTCGCCGACCCTCCTCCTCCGCTGTTGCCACAGCACAGGCCACTACGCCACCCGGTATCGTCGCCGCCACGCCGCCATGTCAGCCCAATTGCCGCCCCTTCCCATGCCGCGTCGCCCCGTGCTAGCCGTCGTTGCAGTGCCTCCCCATACCGCACCTCGCCGTTTAGCGTCACACATGTCAATGACATGCGGGGCCTATGCCATTGTAACAAATAAACATATTTTTAGAGAGAAGAGGTTTACAAGAAATGAGAAAAGTTGTTGCATGGCAATTTCACGTAAATTATATGGTCAACCCGTAATATCTTTTTTATGGGAAGACTTTTAGAGGAGCTATTGGAGTTGCTCTAATACTTTATTTTTTTGAGAAGCACAACTATAAATTACTTTCTGAGATGCAAGATTGTTATTGAGTCAATTACATCACTAGTGCCACAACTTGGCAAGATCAATTTAGCACTAAAACTTGTGGTATACATTGAAATGGTGTCACAACTTGATTTTGGCGTGCATATAGAGTGCAAATCACGTTACTATATGAACACAATGCTGATTACGCGCGTCAACATGGCATGGGTGCCAGTTATTTTGCGAAACATCATTTTTTTCATGAAAAAGCCCCTGGCAGGGACCCATATTTTTCTCATAGATGGAGGCTAGTTTCATGCAAAAATTGTCGTCCTGGGATTCGATCATGTTAGCTGACGCCTGCGGTACCGTCGGCCAAACAAATACACCCAACATCGTTCCTTGTCATTAACCGATATGAAACGCATACAACCATTATGGGCTGGAGTCCCAACGCCCCATTTTACATTGTTATTTTTGTAAAAGAAAACTAAAATAAATGTAAATTGTAACTGTGTGTTAAAATAGAATAAATTTAAAAATAACAATGAACACTTTATATGCTTGATATTTTTTATTAAAATCATGAACATTTTAAACTTATATTAGCATTTATTGAAATAAAAAATATATATTATAAATTCCTAAAAAAGGTAACGCTGCTGGGTGGTGGTCACTCGCACATGATGACTACATGTCGCTGCTTATAATCCCAGCCAACTATTTTTACATTATATGAATATATGTTTTTTAAATTATGAACACTTTTATATACTACATGCATATTTTGTTTAAACTGTGAATATCTTAAAACTTGCTGCAGAATCTATGACAATATTCTTAAAGCAGGAACACTTTTATGCACTACATGAATATATTTTTTAAACTGTGAACATTTTTTAATTTATATAAGAATTTACTAAAGTATATAAAACTTGAACACTTACTTAAAGCATGAATGCATTTGTATATTACATTAATATTTTGTTAAAAGCGTGAACAATTTTAAACTTATATAAGAATTTGTTGGATATATGTCCTTATTCAATATGCAAATTATTACATGAACAACTTTGTAATTCATACTTTATTATATAAATAAATGCTAAATCCATACGTGATTATTTTATAAAGTAATTTATTTTGAATATATATATTATTTATAACACACTATTATAATTTACATATATTATATAAATTTCTGAAAAAAAAGAGTGCAAAATGGGATGTAGGGACTGCAGCCCGCTTAATACTCAAAGAATATATGGCAGCAGCACCCAGTTATTACATAAATTGCTTGTGGGTGTAATTTAGGTGTAGGTCGACATATTTGGTTGGGCAATCCTCATGACTCAAACCTTGTACCTATGACCTTTTGTGTTGGATGAATAAAGATGGCGAGTTTTTCTCAAATAAATAAATAAATTGCTTGAGGGTGGTTAGCCTTGCGCTGCTGCTATCCACAGGTCAGCTGTACGAGTGCTTGCGCGTGCCAGTTTTTCATTTATTTTTGGGAGGCTAACAAGTGGACCCTAGCAGCCGTGGCATAGTATTTTTCGTGAGACTTTTTTAGGTTTTCTTTTTTCAAAATACTCCCTTCGTTCCCAAATACTTGTCTTTCTAGGCATTTCAAATAGACTCAACATACGGATGTATATAGACATATTTTAAAGTGTAGATTCACTCATTTTGCGTCGTATGTAGTCACTTGTTGAAATCTCCAGAAAGACAAGTATTTAGGAACGGAGGGAATAGCAGATAGTATTTTTCATGAGGAATTTTTTTGAGTTTTTTTTTTTAAAAACCAAGATGTGACACTAATTCAATGTATGCCATAATTTTTAGCACTAAACTGACTTTTCACATCAAGTTGTGACACCAGTTGTGTAATTGACTCATTGTTATTCCACCCAAATTACTGCAATTTTTGTTCATTCCAGCCAAATTTTGCATAGGATCAGACGGCCGGCTTTTTTTTCTAGGGAAGAGTCATACGGCCGGCTGCCTCTTCCTTGTTGGTCCTCTCGGGTCTTGGCCCACCACGAGACTACAGCGCACTATGCCGGGAAGATGACCAGGGGCGCGCCTTCCGACGCAACTGGGAGTTAATAAAAGGCAGTCTGGTCAGGTCCAGCGTCAAATCCGCCGCGCACTGGGTCCCGCCTCGTCACTCCCTCCCAAGCTCCCGGACTTCTTTTTGTCAACTTGTTCCGCCGTCTCTCCCAGTCTCGCTCGTAGCTTCGCAGCCCTCCCGGCCAACAACCCTCGCCGGCGAGGCGCACCGCGCGGGAGCCAAATGGCCGCGGCGGAGGCCGCGGCCGGAGCGGCGGCCGAGGCTTTCTCCATACGGTACCCTACTCTTGCCTTGCCTCCGCTTGTTTTCTCGGGACACGCGGCTGATGCATGCTGACCTGTTCGACCGAATGCCGCAGGGGGTTCGCCGCCAGGATGCGGGCCGTGGACGCGGCCAGGTGCTGGCCATTCGGAGGCTCCGAGGACGACAACTCGGAGACGCCGAAGCTCCCGCCAATGGCCCCGACGCCGCGGTCGCGCTGGTGGGCCGACGAGCTTGCGGCGTTGCGGGCGCGGCCGGCTGTCTGCGCTGCGGGCGGAGACTTCGCCGTGGGTGGCGGCATGGAAGATGATTTGGGGAAGGCGAAGAAGAGGAAGGGATCTCGCGGGAGCGGCGGTGCTGAGAGGGCTAAGAGGCGGCGGAGAGCGCTCCAATCTAGCTTCTTTTTGAAGCACAAGGTACGCGGTTGGTGCCCCCGCTTTGCTTGCCCTTCCCCGAGTATTCGCTAGCAGCCGTTCTCTGGGTTCAACTTCATATATGATGTTCAGTTTAGTACTAGCTTTTAGGAAGGCCCTTGTCACATTGGTAATTTAATGTCATTTGCTTGCTCTATGTTTCTGCTTGTAGACATAAAGAGTGAACACAATGCGTCCAACAAGACCCACATTATGTAGCACCGCGGTTAAAATTTCTGCTGCAATGTACCTGTTTTAGCCATTTGAAGGTGGACATTGGAAGTAGATGTTTAATCCATAGGATTTAGAGGTAGTAATCCAATACCTTGATTAATTGAACGAAAAACCACACCCTGCATCGCCCTCCCCGGAAGGTGGTGGCCGGGCTTGTTCTGGCCCGCAGCAACGGCGAAGGATAGGTCCACGAGCGGCGGCTTGAGCCGACAGGGGCTTGGTGCTGGCGGTTGGCCGCATTGGTGGTCCGTCAGCCGACAGCTCCCCATCGGCGCAACATCAGGACCTGTCGCCGGTGTCTGTATGGCAATGAAGGCATGGTTCCTGCTCCCTCGGCGGCCGGGGTGATACACGGCAAATTGTAGGGGTGGCCTGATCTTCATGATTGGACAGGGATTCATGGATGAACATGAGGAATAAGGGAGGATTAAGAGGGACACACGCAAGGATAAGGTTCACAACAAAAGTACTAACTCAAATCGTAAGGTCAATGCAAGAGGAACCTCAAGATCCAATAACAAGCAAATGAAAGAAAAAACATGGCGGTAGTTCATCCCTAAATCTCCATGAGAAATGGAGGGCTTGAGAGATAGTTCGTCCCTAATTGGAAGAGAGGAGGCGTTGTAATCCAGAAGGATTCATCTCCACATACAGGTCTTGTAAGCCGGTTGGATTCTTCTCTGCATAGGACGCCTTGATCATCCCCTTGGGGTAGTTAGATTGAGCAAAGCTCTCCCAAGTTCTTAGTGTATACTTTGCTAACACTAGATCTATTGAGGGGCATGGTATTTATAGTCTAGGACCGAAAGGGTACGGGGAGGAGATACACGGGCGCTGCCCAAAAAATGTGCATAAACAGTACTACCGGACAATCCAGGTTGGGGGCGGAAAGTCCGGTTGTGCTATCCTTTGGCGCCATTTTGCACTGCTGGACAGTCCGGGGCGCAGGGACCAGACAGTCCGGACGTGGAGGTGTAGTTGCACGTTCGGAGAAATGACTGGTAGTCCGCGAATTCGTCCGGAGGAAATATACGGTTTTTGGTTTTCGTCCGGTGATTCCCAGACTATCAGCTGGATTCGTCCGGGCAAAACATAGACGTTCGCAGGTGGTTGCCGGACTGTCTGGTAGTACACCAGGAACACTTCCCTCTTTTCCTTTCCTTCTTCCTCGAGTCTTCACTCCTCACTTGGGTCTTGGGCTTCTTACTTGCTTCTCCTTGGTACTTGCCTTTGTACCTAAGCATGCATAAGGTGTCGGCTTGAGGTAGTAGCCAGATCTCATTCAAACGCAAAGGTAGCTCAAAGAGGAGTGAACTCACCTTGGTTTATATAGCGTGTACACGAGCTCTTGTCATTGGTCAACTTGGCCCTGGCGATGAATCCATGGTGATGTCGGTGGGATGCTCCTCATCATGTTGTGGCGCTAGTCCCTGCTAGGGCATTGATGTGTGGGTCCTCTCCTCCCCGCTGCCATCGCCTATGTCGGCGGCGGGGTCTCTCAGCCACCTCTCTCATCCACAATTCCCTATTGTCTCGTCTCTTGAGCCGAACAGAACGCGCCAATGTTGGCCTGGGATTCCTGGGACTTCGGCTTTCCAGAGTGGTGCCTGCAGGTGGTCCATGAGGTGTGCTTGGTGTGTGGTGGTTGTTTCGGCTGGCCATGTGGGGTTGGCCAGCGTCTGGCAGGGGGTAGTCGATGGTGTTGTTGTCGTGGTAGGCTCATGTTGGACTTAATGCTAGGCGTATGGTGGCCTCTGTCGCCGGCGTGGTGTGTGAACCAGGTTCTTGGGCTAACACTATTGTAGGCAGTGTCAGGGTTCTATTGATGGCTCATCATGGAGTTGCGCCATTGCGTGTGTTATTGCCGCGGCGCTTCAGGCGAAACCCTGCTTGAACTTGTCGGTGTCGGAGAGGAGGGCTGCCCTCGAGCATCGTCTGATTGGTGGTGTCATCTAGGAGCCCACATTCACCCCCAACCCTTGTGATCTGGTTCCCTGAGTGAAAAACATGATTTGGCTTGCCAAATCAAATTATCGTGGCGCAGATGACATTGCTCCTTTGTTCTAAGCGTTGTTCTTAGAGGTCTGACCCTAGCTTAGTGCGTGAACCGGTGACACTCGCCTTGACTCTAGCTGGTAGAATCTAGGTGCGCCTACAAGGCTGCAACATGCAAATGCGGTTACCTTGGACGTCATGGGTAGTGAGGATCGCGGAGGATGGGTCCCGTGTCGTGGCGTCTTAGAAGCATGGGGCCACACGACAAGTATCGGCTGATGATTGCAGGCGTAGGTTGCGACCAACGAGGGATATGACGAGGTGTGGTGATGTAGCATTCAAGACGGCAGCAGCGATTCTACGGCCTTGGCACCGTTGTAGTGTGAGGCGGGCGGTCCGTGACACCATCAACTTTTGCCTTCTCTAATTTGGGAGGGGCCCATTTCCCCCCTTCTCTGCTAAGTTGGATTCTCTCTTCTCGTGGTGGGAGATGCATCATGTGCACTTTTATGGATGGTTGCTAGGCCAGGGTTTGTTTTGTGGTCCCGGTTGTAATGTTGGTCCAACAGACGGTCTTGTGTTGAGTGGCTAGTTGTTTTGGCTTAGTCTTAGGCTTGTACAGTTGTAACCATATTCTTTCTATCCGTTCATTGAGGGGCAAGCTTTGTGTGTTCCCGGAAAAAAAATCTACAGAATTTATGTTCCCGTTCTTTTGAGGGTAGAACAGGCCAATGGTGCATATAGTGTGTATTTACCTACTTCATGAACTGTAGAAAGGAATAAGCTAGCCTCCCAGACCACTTACTGCCTTTGTAATGCCCCGACCAAACCCACTAGTTCCTGGTCATTGCGCCTGGGATCTAGAATGGCCCCAGAGAACTAGCCAGAGTGAGGACAAAGTTGTGTTCAAGGAGGGTGTTATTTATTTACCGTTGCTGGCTATGATGCCATTTCATGGTGAATTTTGGTCAATTAAGCTACTGACATGGCAGAATTACCTCAAAATTTTGACTGCCCTGTGGTGTTGACATGCTTTTCTAAGTTCAAGGGGTCTAATCTCTGGTTTTTCATCAAAGTGTAGTTTTGATTTTGTTTTGGGCCTATTGTAAGATTAGAGAATCATGGTTTCTAGGACTGGTAAGTTACGTGTTCTAGATTTAGGTTAGTTATCCACATTTACTTTTCCATAATTTTAAACATGCGCGTTGCTCTTTCTTTGAAAACATGTACAAAGAAACATTGAAAGTGCATACCACATAGTATTATTTATTGGTCGGATTACATAGAAGTTCTATTGACTAACCACCTAATTCCATGTTCGAGTTTCCTCTACATAGTCAGCTTACCTTGTTATTCTCAGCTAATAATATGTAAGATGTTTTCTTTAACAGGAGAGAACCTCTAAACTCCAACCAGCATCTCGCTTACTTCAACGCATGTTCCATAAGGGTTTGTTGAGAAAACGAAAAGGCTGTACTATTCCTACACTAAGAGAACTCATTATGAGGAAGAAATTGCAAGAGCGACAGGATCAGATGTCAACCCACAGAAACAGCTTGAAGAAACAGTCCGTGAGAGGAATGGATCACGAACGAAGCATAAAAATCAGCAGGCCAACTGATTATCCTGTAAATCTTGGCTGTGAAGTAGTGAAGCATGTTGCATGCCCACCCAAGGATGATATTTTTGGAGATCTACCTCTTTTAGAAAGCTCAAAAGTTATGTTTCATACTGGAGTTGACATACTCCCTACTATTATAGAAGATTCTTTTGTAGAAAATCAAAATGGGCCAGATGCCATATCAGAAACTGAACCATTGGAGCTAATGCCTATTGCTGACATTTCAAAGCAAACATCACCCCCCCTTGAAGACTCAGTGAAGAAGGAACAGAGTCCTGACAAAGGGTCAACATGCATCTTACTCAATGATGCAGGAAGGAGTCATTCTTCCCCTGCTGAGTTTGATGGTCTGCTAAATCATGCTAGTGTTACCATGGCGAAAACTTCTCTTCCTGAAATGCAGCTGAAATCTACCAATGTTCCTGCTTTAAGTTCTTATTGTAACGAGGGAGCAAAATCTGGTACTAGCAACTGTGCACAGGGTCGTTTCAACACAAACACAGACTGCTTTCAGGAAATGGAAAGACCTGGTACCAGTTCAGTGGCCGTGAGAACCAGAACTGAGGCAGTTAAAAAAGAAGATGCAGCAATCCATGGTGTAAACAATGCAAGTGTCACCATGGCGAAAACTAGTCTTCCTGAAATGCAGCTGGAATCTACTCATGTTCCTGCTTTAAGCTCTTGTTCAGAGGCCATGAGAACCAGAACTGAGGCAATTAAAAAAGAAGATGCAGCAGTCCATGGTGTAAACAATGCAAGTGTCACCATGGCGAAAACTAATCTTCCTGAAACACAGCTGAAATCTACTCATGTTCCTGCATTAAGTTCTTATTGTAACGATGGAGCAAAACCTTGTCCTAGCAACCATCCGCAGGGTAGTTTCTATATAAACACAAACTGCTTTCAGGAAATGAATAGACCTGGTACCAGTTCAGCGGCCGTGAGAACCATAACTGCAGCAGTTACAGAAGATAGAGATGCAACTGTCCATGGTCCAAACAATACAAGTGTCACCATGGCGAAAACTTGTCTTCCGGAAATGCAGCTGAAATCTACACATGTTCCTGGTTTAAGTTCTCATTGTAACGACGGAGCAAAATCTGGTTCTAGCAACCATCCGCAGGATCGTTTCTACACAAACACAAACTGCTTTCAGGAAATGGAAAGACCTGCTACCAGTTCAGCGGCCGTGAGAACCAGAACGGAAGCAGTTGCAGAAGATAGAGATGCAGCTGGCCATGGTCTAAACAATATAAGTGTCACCATGGCGAAAACTTGTCTTCCTGAAATGCAGCTGAAATCTACTCATGGTCCTGTTTTAAGTTCTTATAGTAAGGACGGAGCAAAATCTGGTTCTAGCAACCATCCGCAGGGTCATTTCTACACAAACACAAGCCGCTTTCAGGAAATGACAAGACCTGGTACCAGTTCAATGGATGTGAGAACCAGAACTGAAGCAATTGAAAAAGATAGAGATGCAGCAGTCCATGGCAAGAAGAGCACTGGTATCTCTGGTCGACTTGTTCCAACCGAATACCATCCTTCAGGTGAAGGCAATCTATCGTCCTCGGTTATGTCACAGAGGACTGTCAATGTAGGAATTAATGCAGATGGCATGTCTTCCTGCAGGAGTATGCCTGCCCAGGAATATGTCCCTGCTTCTATTCCTTGTAAAGTTGCAAGCAATGCGTATCATGAAAGTAGAAAGTCTGTGGATGCATGCACATCATTATCAATGGATGACCAAGGTAGCTGGTACTCAAAAAATTACCCAGGTCACTCTCCGGCAAGTATTACTTTGCCTTTTATGGAGCTACCTGGCCTTGAAAAGATGGAGATCTCAAGCTATGATCCGAGGACAGGTGAAAATAACTTTATGAATGGACGATCAATGAACATAGTAAGATGCCAACAACAGAAGCAGGTGATTGGCATGACCAGTACTATGCAAAGTCAGAATAAGATTGGGTTCAGCGATTCTCAAGCTGGGAAAAAGGGCCCAGATGGTTTTGTGAGACGTGATAATTGTCATTCGTACCAACCCACCATGCGCTTAATGGGCAAGACAGTCTCACTTTGTAAAGGTAGCATGGAGCAGGAGGTACCAACTACAGGGAAGTGGATTGACAAAAATGTTATTGGAGACCGTCCCTCATCAGTTTCATGCCAGTTGCCCCCAAAGAAGGTGTTCCCTTATCAAGATTCTGTGATACCAAGAACTCGTGTTCATGAATCTTCAGATACTTTGCCAAGGATTCCCAACAGTACTTTTGCAGAGGCAAGGCCTATTGCCAATGATGCTCAAAATCATAGGCTGCCACAGACTAATATTTCTTCAGCAGTTAAAGATTACACTTGGAATTCAGGCAGTCAGTTTGGCCGGCAAGCTCAGGGAAACAAAGAATATGTCATAGGCAACTCAAGGACCAGGCATATGGAGTTGTCTCAGCCACCCGAGTTGATAGGCATTCATCGGAACCAATACTTGCACTTAGGCAATCCTGCATCAAGCATGTATGCAGAAGAACACACTTTTGTTGGTTCAGCAGTAAATCGATCTTCTCCTTCATTTCCACAGTGGTCATTAAATACAAGCATGCAGGGGAAGTACCAAAATCCCACTTCATTGGTTTACGAAGATCCTAGATCTGTTCGTACCCACCAACCTCCCTGCCAAGTACCTGGAGAAAATCTATTTTCAGCATCAAACATATCTTTTCATGACTACGGTACAAAAAATGCCGAGTCCAGAAACTCTTATCAGCGAGCACATCCTTCTCTTCCAAGTAGTGCGGCAAGTAAGTTCCATGACTACTGCACAAAAAATGTCGATTCCAGATACTCTTATCAGGGAGCACATCCTTCTCTTTCAACTAGTGTGGCAAGTAAGTCTATTTGGGCAAGTAAGTCTACTCGCGATGTTCTGAATATAGATGGCAGGAAGGGTGTTTCCCTAGTTGATGAAAGAAGCAAGAGACCAGGTTGTGCAGATAATGTTTCACAGCAACCTGCAAAGAGGCAGCTTGTTGCAGACAAACCGGAGTTAACAAGTTCGATGTTCCCATGCATGGAAAAATACTCGTTTGGCTGGTCAGTAAATGATACAGTTGGCCCGCGGATGCTTGACTTCAGTAACAAAAATAGCAGGGCATGCCACACAAATATCAAAAAATGAAAAAACAATAACTTAGGGGGGATGTCTGTTCCAGTTGTTGAAGCAAGATCAAGGACTGAGATGCCACATTCCACTAAATTTTCAGTTGGTAATGGTTTCTATAGTGGAATGTCAGAAAGAAACAGTGGAGTGTTCCTGTTCCACTTATTATTTTGGTATTCGAATAGTCGGCAAAAGGGAAGCTGTAGTAGCCTTTTCTTCATTTCTCAAGATGTTAGTTTAGCAATCAGTCGATTGCTTGTAAAAACTTTGCGGGCAAATGTGCAAGAATGTTTTTCTTAGGATGACACTCCCTCTGTAAACTTTTATAAGACGTTTTAGGTCACTAGTTTACAGAGAGAGTACATACCATGGCATATCACAGGCACGGGGACATTTAAATTGCCAAATGTTGTCGATTCGATTATTTTCTGGGGCCTCCTGTTCGTGCCAGTATGCGTTCTGGCGCCTTAACACATACTCCTTCCGTTCCAAAATAAGTGTTGTGCTGTACTAAAACCGCGACACTTATCAGCATACTCTTCGGTTTGGTCCAGAAAGTAAAGCCATCATTTGGTAGATTCATTGATCAGCACTTCCCTGCGCAACAAGCTAGGGAAGACAATGACAGGCGCATGGAAAGCAGGGTTTCTTTCAGGAAGCCGCGCCCACTGACTCTGAACTGAACTGAAACCCGAAACTTCGGATGCATGTCACCTAAGGTAGCCCTCTGGTCGTGCAACCTTGCAAAAGTTTGCCGGCGAAACGTGCAATCGCCTGAGACCCTCCAGTTTGTTCTTGCTTTCCTTGGGCCAAGAGTAAGGGAGACTTCGCATCGTATCTGCAAGGGTTCCTTCCTTGCCCCCCTTTAAACCCCAGTTTTAAACTGCCCCAACACAGGTATAAAACCATCAGGTGTGTCCCTTGTCATCCACACCGTCCCATACCGACAGACAGACCGACCGAGGACATCAAGAGGCCTCGGAGAAAGCTTTCTCGCAAGCCGCGGCGACGAACCATGGGTGTTCTTGGTGCCCTTGCCAGGCATTTGGATTCCCTTGTTGGGTAAGCGGGTCACACCTGTATATTCATGTTGCTGCTTTTGTTCATTTCCTTGTGAACTTCGAGACTTGTTACGCTCTGAAATTCGTGTTTCTGCTTCTATGTTGCACTCCACAGGCCAGGAATCATGCTGCTTTATCCGCTGTAAGTGATTCATCAGAAACAACGGTTCACGGTTGGTTTGAGAGCTATTTCAACACTGTGCTCTGAATTCTAACAATGGTTGGTTTTCTTGCACGATCAGGTACGCGTCGATGCGCGCGATCGAGAGCCCTTCTTCCCTGGATGATCAGCAGTGGCTCACCTACTGGGTGCTGTACTCCCTGATCACCCTCTTTGAGCTCTCATGCTGGAAGGCTCTCCAGTGGTAAGCCAGCAGTAACCATGACTCTCCTCTCTTCCTCTGTCTGATTTGCTCAGTTATTATTGTTCGTTCCTCGGGCAATGAATTTCTCAAGATTTCGCTCTGCCTATGTGTGTATGTTTCAGGCTCCCTCTGTGGCCGTACATGAAGCTCCTCTTCTGCTGCTGGCTGGTGCTGCCGATCTTCAACGGCGCGGCCTACATCTACGAGACGCACGTCCGGCGCTACTTCAAGATCGGGCAGTACGTGAGCCCCGGCTACAGCGAGAGGCAGAGGAAGGTGCTGCAGATGATGAGCCTCGACGCGCGCAAGTCCGTCGAGCGCTTCATCGAGACGCACGGGCCCGGCGCTCTCGAGAAGATCATCCAAGCCGTGAGTCGTCCTTGCTCCCTACACTGCCTGCATATATGCTCTTTTGTTTCTGAATGTTCATCTCTTTTTATTCCTCCTTCCTGATTTAATGGTTTGACTTGTGCATGCAGGCTGAACAGGAAGCCAAGAGAGCCTAGTTTATCTAGCGTGTGGTGAAGTGGAAGGCATTCTTTCAACCGGGAGAAGAGAAACGAGTGGAAATGTAAATGGCTGCCGTGTGCTGTGATCGATATGCTTCGGCAGCTGTTCTCCTTGTGCCGTGTGCGTGTGTTTGATCTGTTGGTTGGGCTTGGCAAGATACCTTGCTGTACATAAGAGATGATCAATGAAACATTCAGGCTATACATGTGAAATGTGGTGTGATGTGATGTGCTCAACACGAAATGGAGCACGACCACAACTAGTCTCTGAATGAATGAAAACCAGAATTTTAACTGTCCTGAACACATCCCTTTCTCTCCACTGAACACCTTAATCCTTGTGATGAATGAAAACCAATTATTGCCTATACCTGTTACAAACTGCATGGCGTATTCATTCTTCAAAATGAAAAAAAAGAACAGGCTAATGTGTTGCTTTTACAGATCGAAAAGAATTAATCCATTTCCATGCCCTTTGTTGGCGAGCGGAAATGGGAATTGCACATGCCTGTACTGGATCGACCACTAGCCATAGATAGTCACGCGATGGGATCAAAGGGATGCGAGCGTGCTGATGTCCATCGGGTAGGCGTCGTTGGGCGACTGGGCGCGGTAGGACCTCCGGCCGACGATGATGTTGGCCGCCTCCGACGGGTGGAAGGCGTCCCAGAAGATGTGCTGGTCCCTGTTGGCGCACGGCGCCTGGTACGGCAGGCACGTCACCTCCCCGTTGTTCCGCCCCACGCCGCAGCACCCGGCGGTGGACTCCGTGAACCCGTAGGCGCCGGCGTTGGCCAGGATGTCGTTGAAGATGTTGTAGGCGTTGATGTAGGTGAAGTGCGCGCCGGGGAGGGTGTTCATCTGGTCCACCAGCCCCACCAGCCGCCGGTTGAAGATCTGGATGGCGCCGTCGATGCGGCCGACGCAGGTGGCGCCGTCGGGGCTGTAGCGCGCCAGCTCGTTGGGGGCGCACCCGACCTGGCCCACCCCGATCAGGGCCACCTTCCGGGCGCCGTAGCTGTACATGGCCTGGAGGTAGCGGCGGTAGTCGGCGATGAGCGAGTCGGCGAACTGCTCCGGCGTGTAGCGGCTGCCGGTGCTGTAGAAGGCCGGCTGGAAGTAGTTGTTGAGGTAGTCGTTGCTGCCCATGCCCACCGTGAAGATGCACTGGCTCAGCCGCTCCGACGCCGTGTCCCGGTCGCCCAGGATGTTCACCAGCGTCTGCACCGCCGTCTGGTAGTTCTGCACCTGCCCCGCGAACGGGATCCGCCCGCCCTGCATCACGTCCATTCCATGAGATCAATTTTTTGGATCTGCGACATGATCGTTGTGAACTTGTGATATGTACACTCCACGTACGAGCTGCTGGCCGGTCTCGGCACGGATCCCGGCGGCGGCGGAGGCGAAGTTGACGCCGTTGAGGAGCTGGTCGCCGCCCGTCGCCGCGTAGGGAGGGATGAAATTGTCGAAGCCCAGAAGTTGAGCTGCATGCGCATGTTGGTAAAAAAAAATCACAACAAGGTTAACGTTTTAAGCCGTGACATGAGTCATGACACACGTACGTAACCACCATTGATGCTGCACATGTAGGAGTACTATATGTACGTAGAAATCTTTTTAGAATTTTTTTATCTGCAACGACGATGGATCTAGGCAGTGTGTTCTTGATGAATCTATGCCGCGCCCCGGCAAATTTAATTCCATGCAACCCTCACCGAACACTGTAGTACTATATCGGCGGGCTGGCCCACGCTGGGACGTGTGATGGGTGTCTAGCCAAGAGAAGCTACAGCCACATTCCTTTATTTACACACCTACCTTGAATATTTCTACTACTACCACTGCTGCATGCTGTACTTGGGAAGGATCGGAATGCCAGCTACCGTTTTCTATCACCTGACCCAGATACGCATGCAATGCATGCACGCACCACCCATGACCACCATAAACATGGTCGATCGATCGTGTCCGAAATTCCGAATGCGCGCGCTGGTGGTAGACGACAACAATTCACCTCAGCTATCCTATATCCTGTAGTTAGCTCCTGTGTAAAGGTAGGTAGGTAGTGCATGCTGATGACGGCCATGTTAATTTGGTCTTGACGTAGAGTATATACATATATATATATATATATATGCATGGTTAGTTAATTACCGATGACGTCGACGGTGGTGAGGCCGTTGGTGAAGCGCCCCGACGGGCCGCCGGCGAAGTCGATGCCGTAGGGCGGGTAGTTGGCGCGCGCCAGGGACACGATGTAGTTGTTGTTGCCGTTGTCCACCAGCGAGTCGCCGAAGATGAAGTAGCACGGCACCTGGGGGTCGCACCTCGCCGCCGTCGCCAGCGCCAGCGCCGCCGCCGCCACCAAGCACGCCAGCCGCCCCAGCTCCATGGCGCCCGCGCACGCTGCTAGGGCTAAGCTAGCTAGCTTCCGAGGAGAGACGTAGCTAGGTAGCTATAGCTAGGCACGGGTGCAGGGGAGATCGGTCGACGAGCGGGGCGGGGAGAGAACTAGAAGTGGATATGGACGGAGAGGGCGGGAGGTCGGCCAGAGGAGCTAGCACGAGTCACGCTTGCACATGACCCACGGGACTGAGCTAGCATATATAGGCGCCGCGCGGGCAGCGATGGAGCGGCACCGGAAGGAGGCTGCAGTGATAGCAGATGGACTCGTGGACGCGCTCCACTTGCACAGATCATAGATTGTTGGTCGCGCTTGGTGGGCGAGCTAGCCGCCTAGCCCCAGTACAGTACCGGCACTTAGCTACTGATCGATCGAGTTTTGAGTGACTTAAGTTGGTGAACTGGGAAGAGGGGCCGGCCGAAAATACAGGTAGTAATTCCACACGGCTTTCAAAACCGTGCATCACCGCATTAAATTAACAGAATGACTAATTCACATCTAGTATAGATGTTTTTAGGAATGTCACATCTAAGTAGTTCATTGCATAATAAGGGGCTTGAAGATTTGTACAAAATATTTTTTTAATTGTGTTTTTGCTAATGTTGTGTGATGTCATGCTTAGATGTGACATAGTTATGTCACATCTAGCCACATCCTTTATTTAATTGAATAATAACAC